GCCGCTTGGGGTGCTTCCCCTTTACTTATAGTAGCCTTGGGTCGGGCATGTCCCCCCCTACAGGCGGAGCTCGGAGGAGAGAAATCAAACATGGTAAAAACATACTATAGACAAAGAAGTCAAATAAGGTTCCCCATAATAAAAAAAAACGACGATTCTTTTACTATTTCTGAATTCTCGAGGGGCGTGCCCGACTTGATGCTCGTCCGCACCCGCCTGCCGCAACCGGGGATGGACAGACCCCCCTTTAGTAAAACGGGGTTTAGTGAAAACGACCTGAGGCCCAAACCTGGCGGGCGCAAGCCTGGAAAATAACGGCCACGGCGCCTTCTCGAGGACCGAAAACGGACAATACACAAATCGACGTGTCACTGTTGGGGGCTCTGTCCACCCCCGACCCCAGGTGAAGGAGCCCTGGGACACACAAAGAAATACATAGACACAAATAACAGGATTCCCAATAATTTCCCCTATGTTCTGGGCTTTTGTCTTCCCCCCTCACTTCCACTGTTGGGGGCTCTGTCCGCACCCGCCTGACGCAACCTGGCAAGGCACGGCCGGCAGCGGGCGCGCGCGGGCAGTCCTCCCTCTCGCCCTGCGCGCCCGCGGCGGCGGCCGCCGCCTCGCCGGCGGGGCCCTGCGGCAGAGCCCGCGGCTCAGGAAGACGACGACGACGACGACGACGACGACGACGACGACGACGACGACGACGACGACGACGACGACGGTAACGACGACGGTAACGACGACGATCGTTCTGAGACTGTTCGCTTTTACTGGCACGCGCGGCTTGCATTCTGTGTGCCCCAACCCTCGATGCCCGCCCACTTCGTCTTCGATCGCACCCCCTTTCGGGGGGAATATCTCCCTTATCGGCCACTGGCTGAAATGCGAGGTGCTCTCGAGCGAGGGCACCGCTCCTGAGTTCGGGGGCCTCTCTGGCCAGGGGCTCTCGGAATACAGATTGAGGAATATCAAACGGGGGACCCTTGTCGCCGTGTCTGGGCCTCCACCACTTTGTCTGAATTACGAGGAAGTCTCGAGCGAGAGCGCGAATCTTGAGTTCGGGGGCCTCTCTGGCCAGGGCCTCTGGGAATACACCTTGACGAAGTATCGAACGAGTCGCCGTAGGGGGGCCTCCACCAAGTTGACTGAATCACAAGGAAATCTCGAACGAGAGCGCCGTTCCTGAGTTCCGGGGCCCTTGTCGTCGTGGCTGGGCCTCCGCCTATTTGACTGAATTGCGAGAACGTCTCGAGCGAGAGCACCACTCCTGAGTTCGGGGGCCTTTCTAGCCAGGATGTCTCGGGGTAAATTGTCAGGAAGTATCGAGAGGGAGCCGTTGTCCTTGCAGCTGGGCCTCAAAGGGCACACATTTACAATCAAGCCCGCGCTCGAGCGGGAGCCACGTTTTCAAAGGAATTACAGCCGGCGTCGAGGGGAGAGCGCGCGGAACCGTTTCCAGGGATCAACAATAATAATTCGCTAGAAGGGAATATATAGAATAGATTCGACGATGACGGCGGCGGGACCAAAGACGATGGCGGCGGTGAACGGCTACGGCGACGGCGACGGCGACGGCGGCGACGACAACGACGAAAATGGAGATGGCGACGGCGACGACAACGACGACAGCGGCGATGAGGACGCCAACGACGACGACGATGAAGACGACGACGACGACGACGGCCACGGCGGCGGCGACGACGACGACGGCGACGACGACGACGACGGCGACGACGACGACGACGACGACGACGGCGACGGCGACGGCGACGGCGACGGCGACGGCGACGGCGACGGCGACCACGACCACGACGACAACGGCGACGACGACGACGACGACGACAACGACGACGACAACGGTAGCGGCGGCGACGACGACGACAAATGCGACAACGACGAAGTCGGCGGCACCGACGATGGCGTCGGCGATGGCGATGGCGACGGCGACGACGGCAACGGTGACGGCGACGGCGACGGAGACGGCGACGGCGACGACGACGGCGACGGCGACGGCGACGGCGACGACGACGACGACGACGACCACGACGGCGGCGACGACGACGACGACGATATGACGGCGGCCGCGGCGGCGGCGGCGGTCATCGTGGATGACGAGGAGAAGGAAAAAAGAAAAAGGAGGACAAGGAGGACGGAACACGAGGACGAGGACGAGGACGAGGAGGAGGAAAGGAGGAGGAGGAGGAGGAGAAGGAGGAGGAGGAGGAGGAGGAGGAGGAGGAGGAGGAGGGGAAGGAGGACGAAGCTGAAGAGGAGGAGGAGGAGGAGCTTGATGGGCCGCTCTCGGAGCATGCGTTCGAGCGCCCTCGGTGGGCGCCCCGCTGGGCCCGAGGAGGGGCTTCGGGGAACGAGCAGGGGGCGGGCGGAGGAGCGCGCCGCAAAGCGGGGCGCGCGCGCGGCGGCCCGCCCCGACAGAGCTGAGAGAACACGGAGGAGGACGGAGAAGGAGGACGGAAGAGGAGGAGGAGGACGAGGACGAGGAGGAGGAGGGGAGCAGGAAGGGGGGGATTTGGAGGAGGACGAGAGGAGGAGGAGGGGAGGAGGAGGTGGAGGAGGACGAGGGGGAGGAGGAGGAGGAGGAGGAGGAGGAGGAGGGAGGAGGAGGAGGAGGAGGAGGAGGAGGAGGACGGGGGGGGGAGGTGTAGGAGGAGAAGGAGGGGGAGGAGGGGGAGGGAGGAGGAGAGGAGGGAGGAGGGGGGAGGGAGGAGGGAGGAGGGGGGAGGAGGAGGAGGAGGGAGGAGGAGGAGTGGGAGGAGGAGGAGGAGCGGGAGGAGGAGGAGGAGATTCCCGCGAGATCCCCCTCTGCCGCAGGCAGTCTCTTCCTTCCGACGCGGCCCCCCGCCGCGCGGCGCGCGCCGCGCGCGGGCCAACCGCTCTAGAGGGCCGCGCCCCTAAGGGCCGCCCCCCTTCTCCACGCGCGTCTTGCGGAGGCGCGTGGAGCAAGGCGGCCGAGCGCGCCCTCTGCGGCGCCCGCGCTCCACCCCCGAGATCCTCAGCATCGCGAGGCACCCTCGGGGAGGCCTCCCCGAGCACCCCTCGCGGCATGCCTTCCAAGGAAGGTGGCAGTACTAGGCCCATCCAATCCAGCGTGGCCGTGGGCGTCGCGATGCGTTGGGCGGCGTGGTGCTGCGGGTCTTCTTTGCCGGGCTGGTCTCGGTGATGCTCGGCGGCGTGGTGCAACTAGGCGTGTTGCTGCTGGTCGACGTCGTGCTGCTCTTCGATCGGTCGGCTGGCAGCGTAGAGGAGCCTGCGGACCCATTGCCTGCGGAGTTCCTCGTCAATGCACGATACAGTCGCTTCGGCTGTCGTGGGCCGTTGAGGTTGTTGCACACAGGCTTGCTGCTCGTCGCATTGGAGTGGTGGCTGCTCGATCAGCTTGTCCTGGTGGTGGTAGGGCTGCTGTGGGGCGGTCGGGGAGCTCGGGCGAGGGCCTTCAAATGCATCTCCTCGCTGGCGTCCCCTGACCGCCCCTTCTGGTGGACGCGGGGAATACTCGTCCTCCCCCTCCACGACGTTGCAGCAAACGGCTTGCGTCCTTAGTGGTGTCTGTGGGGGTTCGTTGGTCTGCATCTCTGGTGGCTCGTGGCTGCCGTCGCTGGGCGTTGTGCTGGTTTGGTCGCTGCCAGGTGCTGGGTCGCGTCGCTCCTGGCTGGTGGCTGTGCTGGTTTCGTCTTGTCCGTCCTGGTCGTTGTCGGCGAGCTCTGTCCATTTCAGGAGCTTGTAGCGTGAGCTGCGGCATCCAGCGCGGCGCGTGCATTCCGCGCGCATCTTCTCCGAAACAGACTCGGTGGTGGAGGCGCCGCAGTGGCGGCATACCCAGCGGGATTCTGCTCGGATGAACATCAGCTCGTGGCTGTCGTGAGCCGTGCGTCCGCGCTGGGTGATAGCTCGTCCTTGTCGCGGTGGTGGTCCTGAGCATTGTCGTTGGAACCAATCTCGCATTGCTGCAAAGCTGGTGTCTCGCCCGACACGCTGTGCGCAGCAGGTGCACACCCAACCCTTTCCCCGTCGGGGCCTGGCCAGGTTGCGGGTGGTAGGTGGGCGCTTGCCAACTGGGTGTGGTGGCCCATCTGCGAAATAATCCCGTCGTCGTCTGAGTTGCTTGCGGTACTCTTGCTGCTAAGCTCGTCGTGCAGCGCGTACTTCGCGTGCTCCTGACGGGCGTCTGCCGATGGCGTCAATAGTGGCGGCGGCAATGCGCTTGCGGATGAGGGCGGCGGTGGCGTTGACTCACTGGTAGCAACCGATCTGGCCCGCGCCCAGTTGGTGCTCTGCGGCGGCTTGCTCTGCAAGACGATCCACTTGTGCGTTCCCAAACCATGCGCGCAGTGGGAAACCTCGGCCTTGCGCTTCCTCCCGGGCCAGGTGGCTGTTGATGTGGTGGACTTCGATGTGAGCTGGCCCTTGCTAGTCGCGGTGCGCGAGCTCTTTGCCGATGGTCTCCCAGAGGTCGTCGTTGCTGCCCGTGTGAGACTGTAGTTGGCGCCGTCGGTCTCGCCAGCCCTTGAATACGATCTCGCTGTCCGTCCAGAAGTGAGAAGTGCACGGCGCCAGCGGTGAACTTGATCGCATCCAATAGTGCCCAGAGTTCTGCCCGATTGTTCGTTTGTCGCCGGGAGGGTAGTGGACCGCATCGTGCTGCCGTAACATTGAAGCCGCCGTCGTGTGTGCTGCCAAGTCTTAGCCACGCCCATCCGCATGTTCGGTAACGCCAGTCGGAGGAGTGCTCCCCGCCTGAGCCGTCGCCGTAGATTACCATGGGCGCCCCGTCGTTGGTGCAGATCTTGTCGGCTTGGGTGAGCTCGCCCATGTTGGATGCTGACTCGGCTGCGTCGCAATCTGGTGGTACTGACCAATCTCGCGGGGTTATACCTCTGAGCCAGAAGGCTGGGGTGGTTTGGTGCCCCGCGGCAGCGCGGGCTTGCAGTCTGTCGGTTTTGTCGTGGATGCCGTCGTCTCCTCGGCAGCTGCATCGTTCCCATATGCGGTGGAAGTCGGTGTCTGGCTGCCCGCATTCGCATAGGTGGTTGCCATGGCCGAATGTCGTCTGCTGCCTAGTGCGGGTCCACGTTCCCGCGCAGGCAGCGGTGAGGAGTGCTCCGGCTCCGTATTCGCGGTGCTTGTCGTGTGTTCGGAGCCATTGCAGGTGTCGCTTGAGCTCTGTGGTGTCAGCGCCGTTGTGATCGAGGCCTCCGCCGTGGTAGTGGGCCGCTGCGGTCCTCCAGAGCTGCTGCCTTACGTCGTGCATGATGGCGTCTAGGATGTCTCTGGTGTCCTGGGCGTCCTCGTAGGGAAACTTCCAGTCGTTGCCTGCGCTGTCGATCAAATGGTCTGGTCCGCGGGAGTCCCAGCCGAGCTCCCACAGCGCCAAGATGATGGCTGCGATGGGGCCGCGTCTCTGGTTCCAGCGGCAGTGGGCAGGTACCTTGAGCAGTCGGAAGTAGATTCTGGGCCAGGCGCGTCTGATTTGCGCACGCAGATCTGGGCTGTGCGTCCAACATCCGAACCAATTGGAGAACTGCGTGCTCGCGAAGGTGTAGGCGGGGTCGGCCCCTTCCATGTCCAGGAAAGTGGTGAGGCAGCGTCCAGACCAAGGGCGACGCAGTGCTTGGGCGCATTGGCGTCGTGCTGCACGTAGCGCAGTGGGGGCCAGGCCGTGGAAGGCGACGCCGTACTTCGCGGAGGCCATGGCGCCCTGGTTCGCCAGGCTGGCTTTGGTGGAGGTGCGGAGTCGTCGCCCTTCTGCGGCTGCGTGGACGTCGATGTGGAGGTCGCGGGGCTGCTGTTGGATCTTCTTGGTGTCTTTGTAGTGCGTGGTCATGAGGGTAGTTTTGTCAGCCAATCGTAGTCCCTGCTCCTGTAGTGCTAGGAACGGGCGATGCGTTGATGCGACGGTGGCGGTTGACGTGTGTGTGCTGCTGCCTACTATGCGGATGCTGATGTCATCGAACCATGCTCGAGGCAATGGTCGTGGTAGGGTGCTGGTGTCGGTGAGGGTCGGCACGGCGGCGCACGCGACTGCGCGAGCGATGTCGTTGGCGTGCCTGGAGACTGCCAGGGTGGAGCGGCCCGCGTAGATTGTCCTGGAGTAGGACCCTTGGCATCGCAGTACTCGAGCGGCTGAGTGCTGGAACATCATGAGGTAGAGCAGTCGGGCAGGGAATTGTACGCGTAGCGCAGCTGGCACGGTTTTGTCGATACGAAGGCCGTCGTAGAACTTCTCGATGTCCGCCAGCAGGATGGCCTCAGTCATGTTGAAGGCGTCGGCGCATTCGTCGGTGATAAGGCGGCGTAGTGCTTCACGTAGGCAACTGTTGCCCGCTATGGCGGCGTCCCATTCTCGTTGCTGGTCCACTGCCCATCGTCGGACGCGGTCTCGGTGCAGTAGTTCCCAGCAGCGGAATAGTTGCGGCAGGAGGGCGGGCGCGCGGTCGCCTTTCATGGGCTCGGGGGTGGTCATGGCGATGGAGAGCAGTAGCTGCCATGGCCACATCATGTGCTGCTCGCAGAGGTTGGAAAGGTCGGCAAAGGCTTGTCGTCCAGCTCGTGGTAGCCGTCTGATGTCGCTGCACCTGATGACGTCAACGCCATCACCCTTGTCTGGCTCCCCGCGAAGGCAGCGGTCACGGTCGTCGATGGTCCAGGGCGCTGGTGGTTCCTCCCATTCTGCTCGTTGTCGGAGGTCAGAGAGCAGTGAGGTGCGATGGCTGTGTGGCACGTCGTGGCAGGTCCGAATGTCGTTGAAGACGACACGGGGGTGTCGACGATGTCTCTCGGGCTGCTGAGTACCTTGCCCTGGTGCACCACTTCATGGTCGCGTCGTGGTGGTGGCGTGGCGATCTTGTGGAGGATGGCGGGTGTTTTGCAGGCGGTGGCTAGCCAAGTGCTGTACTCGCGGTGATGTTGTCAGTGGTCCGTAAGCAGGGCCTGGCTCTGTTCGCTGAAAGCTTGTTGGGCCATGCCCTGTAGGGTCTGTAGGGGCAGAGCGTCTAAGTACATTAATCTATCCTCCCATAGCTGGTGGTGGAGTTGGGCGGTGGGTGATGCGTTTCGTCCGAGTGGTGGTAGACCTTCGCGTACTAGGCGGCGCCCTGCTGCATGTAGGCTGAGTTGTTACTGTTGTCCGCGATCGCGTTAGCGAAGTTTAGCAAGGGTACTGAGGACGTTCTCCACGCGGCTCCACCAGTTGGATCTGTGGGATGCGTATCTGAGTTGGTGGTCGCCTAGTTCTCGCAGTGATTGTTCCTTGAATGCATAGCCTCGGCCCCGTCCTCGGAAGTGCTGTCGGTCTTCTAAGGGAATGTGGTAGGCGAGGCAGAACAACGTCTCGAGCGTGCTGGTGAAGTGCTGGTAGGTTGCGCCAAGCAGATCTGCGCTGGTCGGATCAGCTTGGTACGCTGCGCATTGTCGGATGTATGTGGGGGGCTCGGCTGTTGGGTCCGTGGTCGAGCACGCTGGCAGCGGTCCAGGTGTCGTCGAGCGTCCTGGCGTCGGTGCCGTTTGCTCGTTCGGTGAGCTGCTTCAGTAATGGTTTCTGCTCGGGTGCCCTTGGAGCCTCGTCGCAGTCCAGGTCGTTGGGCAGCGCTGAATTCTCGTGGTCGTCGGCGTAGTCCATGTCGCTGGCGTGAGCCCTTTGAACCTCTGCTGCAACATGTGTGTACACCTCCGAATCATGCATGGTGTCGATGACGGCGCGGGAGTAGTGCGGGTAGTGGCCGTCGTGTTCGGCCACGAATTCGTCGAGGTAGTCCGCAGCGTCGTCTTCCTCCATAGGGTCCTGGTCCTCTCCATCCATGGTGGTTCGTCGGTACTGCGGCTGTTGTGTGAATGTCGGGGTCGATGTCGTTGTTGTCGTGGTGTCTCGTGGGTGGTAGTGCCAACCTTGCGGTCCAAGAGCTTCCCAGCGGCTGGCGTCGTCCTGGTCTTGGTCGCGCGATGGCTGTGAGCGTGTCGTTGCTTGAGTCTTGGGGCGCTTCTTCTTTTGGCGTTTGGCGGTGGTTGGCTGCTTGGCGGGTGGTTCAGGGCGCGGGAAAGCCTTCGGCATCTGCAGCCTCCGGGCGAGGTTGGAGTCTGTGTCCGCTCGAATAGCGATGTCGATCCCGATGTGCGGCTTCCAAGGTACGTCGTGCACTGGTTGTATTCCTCGCATGAGTCTTTGTCCTCCTTCGTTGACGAGCGCGCAGTCGATGTTGGAGGGCTTCGCGTCGCCGAGGTGGCACGCACGCTGGTTGTCGTCGAGTCCCACGTAGGCGGTGGCGCCGAGGGCTGCGGTCCAGCCTGGCTGCGCCAGGTCGGCGCAGGAGCGATTGAAGCTGCCGCAGATGATCCACGGCGCGCGCGCGGCGGCGAGGAAGGCGGCCAGGGACGTCAGCTTCCTGGAGTTCTCGCCGGAGTTGAGGGAATGACACGTGTCGAGGTAGAGGGAGACGATGAGGAGTTGGGAGCCTCGCAGGTGCAGAGCGACTGGTGCCCAGTCGCACATGCGGTAGGTGGCGTGGGTGTCGTCGGCGTCGTAGGCTGTGGCGTCCGAGACGTTGGTACGTTCTCCCCGATGTCGGTGTGTCGTTGCCTTGAGGTGACCCTTGGTGAGGACTCCCGCGCCTCCACAAGTTCCACTGAAGCTGTTCGTGCTGGCGCGCGCCGCGGTGAACACTGCTGAGAAGCCCATCTTCTGCAACGAATGCTCCGTGTCCGCGAGCTGGGCCTGGGGCAGGCGGGTCTCCTGGATGGCGCAGACGCCGTAAGGCTGCCGTACTCCGTCTCGTCTTAGCCAGCTCAACACCGCGCGGCCCCAGGTCGTGATGCTGGCGCTGAATATACGGCGCTCGTGGTGGGAGTCGTCGCCGAACTGACGTCTCCCACCGCGCCCTGACCTTCAGCGGGATGCGGGGGCCTCGGCTGAGACCACCGCGTCCCGCCGCTGTCGGAGGTAGTCCTCCGCAGCGGTTGGCACCTTGCTGTCGTGGGCGTCGTTGTCGTGCTGGGCCGCAGATCCAGATGCACCTGCGGTTGGTGGAGCAGCGGCGGTTGGCTCGTCTGCGGCCTGCCCCGTCGTGTGCTGCTCCGCCTGCCGTTTCTTGTAAACCTGCTGGATATCCCCCCGCTCCTGCTCGGCCTTGGCTTTGGCGCCCTGGAGGTGCTGCTTCAGCTGGGCAGCGAACTCCCTGGAGTTGCGCTGCAGCTGCTCGAGCACCTGTCTCTTGGCCTCGACCACGGCCTTCTTGCCCTCGGCGTCGAGGTCTTCGTCCTGGTGGAACTCGTCCTCGACCCCGGCGATCTGCACGTCGCTGGGCGAGTGCAGGTCGGCGTCCGTGTCCAACAGCTGCTCGAAAATGCTCTTCGGCGCCTTCTGATTGCCCTCGTTCTGGACGGCCTCGATCTCGGCCTCGGCGTTGACGACTGCGTCCGCGCACTCCTGCAACTTCTCGCGGGCCTTGGTCGCCTTCGCTTCGGCCAGCACCGCCTGCTCGCACGCCCAGGTGCAAGTGCGGGTCGCGGAGTCGAGCGCCTTCGCCGCCTCCGCGAGGCGCGCCGCCTTGGATTTGGGCGGCTTCTTCTTCTCGGGGACGTTGAGCGTGCCGGCCGCGTGCGTCAGCTGCTTCGCGATGTCCTCGCCGTTGGGCAGCTTCAGCGAGCCGATGGACTCTGTCACCGTCCGCAGCGCTGCGGCGAGCCTGGCGACGCACTGCTCGGCGGGGGGGGGCGTCGGAGGTGGCGTCGTTGCCCTGCCAGCGACCTCTGCCTCCAGCAGCTGAGCCCGCGCCTCCGTTGCCGATGGGTTGCTGTCGCCACCACCCGCTGCTGCTGCTGCTGCTGGAGTCTTGGCCGCCCCCCTTCTTGAGCCTGGCGACGCGGGCCCCGCAGCTGCACCAGTAGTCGTTTCTCTCGAGCGTGGCGTGCCGCGACCGCTCCTTGCATCGCTTGCAGGTGGTCCATGTCGTGGGCGCCTGCATCCTGGGGCGGCGCTGCCGCGCGGTCTCTGGTCGCGCTCCAGCCGTCGCCGCCCCCTCGCCGCTCCTCGCTGGCGCCGCTCCCTGCGGTGCCAGGCCGGCGAGCGTGAGCGCGCTGCAGCAGCGCGGGGTTGCCCCCCCGTGGGGCTGGGGGAGGAGGAGGAGGAGGACGAAGAGGAGGAGGAGAACGAGGAAGACGAAGAGGAGCCACGAGCAACGACCATAGCCATATGCACGCCCTCGCGGTCTGGATTCCAAGAAGCGGCCCCGTGGAAACGCGGTCGCACGGATGCATGCCGCGCGGGGCATCCGCGAAAAAGCGCAGCTTTTCCCCGACCAGCCTGTGGCGTAGGTTCCTGATTTCGACGAAACCGCGCCCCGCGTCCCACGACCTCTCCCATCCTCTCCTCCTGCCTCCCCCCCCCTCCTCCTCTGCCTCTGGCCTCCGCGCGCATCTGTTTCGGCGCACCCCTCAAGCGCTTCGTGGCCCCATAGGGAGCTCCACCGAAGGCCCCAGTGGCGAAGTTGGCGGCCCCGCACCATTTCGGCGCACCCCTCGCGCGCTTCGTGGCCCCATAGGGGGCCCCACCGAAGGCACCAGCGGCAAAGTTTGCGCGGCGGCCCCGCCCCACTTCGGCGCACCCCTGGCACGTTTCGTGGCCACATTGGGAACTCCACCGAAAGCCCCAATGACACAGTTCGCACGGCGGCACCACCCCACTTTGGCGCACCTCTCACACGTGTCGTGGCCCCATGGGGAGTTCCACCGAAAGCCTTATTAGTGGCAGCGCACGCATGGCGGCCCCGCCCCATGTCGGCGCATCCCTCGCACGTCTCGTGGCCCCATAGGAAGGTCCACCGAAGGCCCCACTGGCAAATTTCGCACGTCGGCCCCGCCCCACTTCGGCCCACCTCTCACACGCGCCGTGGCCTCATAGGAAGTTTCACCGAAGGCCCCCTCAGCGCACGCATGGCGGCCCCGTTCAATTCCGGCGCATCCCCCCACACTGTCCGCGGCCCCAAGGGGAGCTCCAAAGGCGGCTCCATGGACAAAGCTCGCGTGGCAGCCCCGCCCCAGCTCGGCGCGCCTCTCACACGTTTCGCGGCCCCACAGGGAACTCCACCGAAGGCACCAGCGGCAAAGTTCGCATGGCAGCCCCGCCCCACTTCGGCGCACCCTTCACACATTTCGTGGCACGCCAACGGCCCCCAATGGCACAGTTCGCACTGCGGCCCCGCCCCACCTGGGCGCACCCCTCACACGTTTCGTGGCCCCATGGGGAGTTCCATCGAAGGCCCCAGTGGCAGCGCACGCATGGCGCCCCCGCCCCATGTCGGCGCTCCCCTCACACGTTTCGTAGCCCCATGGGGAGTTCCAAGAACGGCTCCATTGGGAAAGCTCGCGTGGCAGCCCCGCCCGATGTCGGCGTGACCTTCACACGTGTCGTGGCCCCATGGGGAGCTCGACCAAACGCCCCAGTGGCAAAATTCGCATGGCGGCCCCGCAGCATTTCGGCGCATCCCGCACACGTTTCGTGGCACCGCAAGGAGCGCCACCGACGGCCCCAGTGCCACAGTTCGCGCGGCGGCCCCTCCCTCTGACGGCGAACTATTAGGCCACGCGAAAAGTGAGGGTGCGCCGAAATGGGCGAGGCGCCGCACGTGGACTCTGTCACTGGGGCCGCCTGGTGGAGCTCCCTATGGGGCCACTGGACGTGCGGTGTGTACGTGTGTCTGTGTGTGTCTGTGTGTGTGTGTCTGTGTGTGTGTCTGTGTGTCTGTGTGTCTCTCTGTCTGTCTGTCTGTCTGTCTGTCTGTCTGTCTGTCTGTCTGTCCCTCTGTCTGTCTGTATGTCTGTCTGTCTGTCTGTCTGTCTGTCTGTTAGCGCGGGGCCTATAAAGGCAAAAGAGCCCACAAAGGGCCCAGGCCCCACTGAGGGGCCAGAGCCCCAAGGGGCCATCCCAAGACAGGGGGCGGGCCACAAGGGATCCCGAGAGCCCAGACGAGCCGCAGAAGGCTGCCACCAGGGCACATCGGCCCCGAGGCACCGCTCGGCCTGTCAGCTCAGACCCCCGTCGGGGGGCATCAGCGCGACGCGCTGGAATATTTACAACCGCGCATGCACGCGACGGGCGACGACCCAAACATGCCTGCGCAGCCCCGAGCGGCACGGCGAGGCGGGCGAGGCGCAGGAAGCCCCACGCCCACGCGCAGAGGCCCGCGGCCACCAGGGGCCCAACACGCACAGGAGGACAGGAGACGGACGCAGAGGGAGGACAGGAGGAGAGGCAGGCTGGCGCTCCACTGCCAGGGGCGCCCAAGGCTCGGCGCACGCGCGATCGCGCGGACCGAGCGCCCCAAGGCTGGGGCCATCGCGGACTCAATCACCTCCATCTCCGTCATCTCTGCGTCGCTTCCTGCTCTGGCGCTCGAGTCGGGCCTCCTCGGCCCCCCCTGCCCAGCTCAGCAGGCTCTCCTCGTCGAGGCCGTGCGCATCCAGCCAGGCCTTCCGCGATCCCGCTCCCGCCGCGGTGCCGCCAGCCGCCGCGGGCACATCAGCCGAAGAGGAGGCCGCACCGCCAGCGCCGCTCCCAGCAGCGTCGGCCACCGAGGCGCTGCTCGCGACGCCTGCTGGCGCGTCAGGCTGAACACCGAGCCACTTCAGGAAGCGCACCCTGGCGTCCTGCGGCACCTCGGCCTCCTTGCGAAGACGGGGGGCATCCGCCCCCTTCCTCCGCGCGTCGCGGGCGCGCGGCGCGCCTCCAGGGTGGAGGCCACGCTCCCGCCGCGACTTCTGGCCCCGCAGCGACCTGGGGAGGCCTGTTGCCCCAGGACAGCGCTCCCTGAGCTTGGGCTGCGGACCAGGGCGTCCGCCTAGCCTCGCATACGCTCCGCACCTGGCGCACGCAATGATCTCCTGCTCGTCGCCGTCCTCACCGCACCTGGCGTGCGCGAGGGCGCGGCCAGCGACGGCGAAGACCAGGGCGCCCAGCGCTACTCCGCCGTCGCGCGCCGCCGAGGCCCAGGCGCCAGCAGCGGCGGGGCGGCTGCCTGCCTGCTCCCCGCGGGCCTCCACGGCGGCGGGCGCGGCGTCCGACTCGCTCGCGGGAGCCGCCCGCAGGCCGTCAGCGCGCTCCTCCAGCGGGACCGCGAAGGTGACAGCCGTCCTTCGCTCGTCGCACACGGGGAGGCCCTCGCAATCCTTGGGGGCCCTGCCCTGCCAGACGATCGAGACCTGCGCGATCCACCTGGAGAGCTCTCTCACGACCCCCACCGTGCCGAAGAACTCGCGTCGCGCTGACCCTGTGGAGGGCCGCTCCCGCCTTAGCCAGCCTGTCGGCGTGGGCGTTCCCAAGCCACTGACCCTCCGAGATCCTGCCCTCGCGAACATCGATATCGATCTCGGTGCAGTGGGCCTCCACCTTGTTCACGATGAGCGAGTCGACGTCTAGCGAGGCGTAGACGGCCGACCACAGGTGAGCATTGGGCTTGTTGGCCGCCGTCGCATACCTCCTGCCGAGCTTCAAGCAGCTGACTGTGGACGCACAGTTCATGTTGATCTCGATGATCGAAGGCCCGAGGTAGCGGCTCAGCATCCAGACCGCGAAGTCCTCGCCGTCCTTCGCCGTCTGTCTGTCTGTCTGTCTGTCTGTCTGTGTGTCTGTGTGTCTGTGTGTCTGTGTGTCTGTGTGTCTGCGTGTCTGTGTGTCTGTCTGTCTGTCTGTCTGGTCTGTCTGGTCTGTCTGGTCTGTCTGGTCTGTCTGGTCTGTCTGTCTGTCTGTCTGTCTGTCTGTCTCTGTCTGTCTCTGTCTGCCTCTGTCTGTCTCTGTCTGTCTCTGTCTGTCTCTGTCTGTCTCTGTCTGCCTCTGTCTGCCTCTGTCTGTCTCTGTCTGTCTCTGTCTGTCTCTGTCTGTCTCTGTCTGTCTCTGTCTGTCTCTGTCTGTCTCTGTCTGTCTCTGTCTGTCTCTGTCTGTCTCTGTCTGTCTCTGTCTGTCTCTGTCTGTCTGTTGTCTGTCTCTGTCTGTCTCTGTCTGTCTCTGTCTGTCTCTGTCTGTCTCGTGTCTCTGTCTCTGTCTGTCTCTGTCTGTCTCTGTCTGTCTCTGTCTGTCTCTGTCTGTCTCTGTCTGTCTCTGTCTGTCTCTGTCTGTCTCTGTCTGTCTCTGTCTGTCTCTGTCTGTCTCTGTCTGTCTCTGTCTGTCTCTGTCTGTCTCTGTCTGTCTCTGTCTGTCTCTGTCTGTCTCTGTCTGTCTCTGTCTGTCTCTGTCTGTCTCTGTCTGTCTCTGTCTGTCTCTGTCTGTCTCTGTCTGTCTCTGTGTCTCTGTGTCTCTGTCTGTCTCTGTCTGTCTCTGTCTGTCTCTGTCTGTCTCTGTCTGTCTCTGTCTGTCTCTGTCTGTCTGTGTCTGTCTGTGTCTGTCTGTGTCTGTCTGTGTCTGTCTGTGTCTGTCTGTGTCTGTCTGTGTCTGTCTGTGTGTGTCTGTGTGTGTCTGTGTGTGTCTGTCTCTGTCTGTCTGTGTCTGTCTGTGTCTGTCTGTGTGTCTGTCTGTGTGTCTGTGTCTGTCTGTCTGTCTGTGTGTGTGAATGTGTGCATGTGTGAATGTGTGAATGTGTGCGTGTGCGTTTGCCGAAATAGCTCCCTATGGGGCAGAAACGTGTGAAGGGTGCGCCGAAGTGGGGCGGGGCCGCCATGCGAACTTTGCCACTGAGGCCTTTGGCGGAGCTGCCTG